TTTATATAAATTTTTACTTTTTATTTTCAAGGCAATTTACATTTGTTTCTGATGAATTAGAATCTTTATTTACATATGTAATAATATTATTCTCTTCATTTTCATAATCATAGATGTACCTATATTTTTTATCCGATTGGGCCTATTATTCCTCTTTTTAAATATCCGCAGCCTATATGATTAAATTTTTTTCGATTTGATATAATGGCGTTTTAATTTAAAAATTTTGTAGCATTGATTTAAGAAAATATTTATTGGTAGAAAATTCTTATATAATAGAGGTGATAGATTAATTATAAAAACGAAATAAATCATTTAAAATACGCAAAAAAAAAAATTTTATAAATAATTTTATAATTTATAAAACAAAATTTAACAATTTACATTGATCATGAATAGACTATTACTTTCTATATGATAGAAAGACTTTTGGAACAAAAAAGAATTACAACGATTTGTTATATATAATTAAATTGATATATGAATATTTTTAGATTAGTGAATATAACTGAATAAATAAGTCTAAAATTATATTTTAATTAAAATTTGATAGTAGTTTATTTTAAATGACTTATGTTATGTTATGGTAGAATCATAGTGGTAAATTATAAAAAAAATAATAAGTGAATTCATTGAAAAATATTAAATATTTATAACTACCAAAATCACATATCGGATCATTAATCGGTCTATATCAATATAATATCGAATCGGCCTTCAAAAAGAGGTAATAATTCTTATACATTTAAAGTTATCTCCATTTGTTAAAATAGTTTTGAGTATTTTTAAATGTTTAAAAAATGTATTTCGCTAAGTATTCGAAGTCCTAAGACCATTTAGAAGAGGGTAGTCGTAAAGTTTGTTGGAGATTAGGAGTAGCTCTGATCATTGTGGTCTGACTGGACCTAAGATAAATGTTCACACAGCAATCGAGTGAATTTAGATCTATCCTTTATTATAGAAGCTAGTAAAAATATAGCACGTTATTTTACAATATAGTAAACATAGTCCAATTTAATCCAAAAAATAATTAAAGTCGAGATAAAATAAGTGAAAGTAGAATAGTGCTTAGCCACAAAACAATCTCTAACTTTTATAATTTTTTTATTTTATCTAATTTATTTGCCAATATTTATTAGCCAATGATAGCATCGAAAACTGGCGGGATAGTTTTATGTTCTTTTTATCAACCATCTTAGAATTAGTGCAACCCCCTTAGCTACACGCAAATATCAATTTGTTTATCACTTTTGAATTTTTTAAAGCTAGTTAATTTCGATAACAAAAAGGGGGGCAATTAAAATTAATTAAGTTGTAAACACAACAACTGCAATGTTCTAAATTTTTATTTCAAAATGCCTAAAAATGCATGTGTTAAGACACTATTTTAGTTTAAACAGTAGCTTTTTCAAAATATATTTCGTCACTACATAATTCTGAAGACACTAAAAAATACGCCCAGAAAATATGAGTATTTTATCTTATCGATTAATAAAAAAATTTTACAATATCATTTTATTGAATCATTCATATATATATTTATATACGTAATATAATATATGATATTTTTAATAAAAATGAAAGGGGAAAAGTATGGGCATAAAATATATAAAACTAACCCTGAGAATTTCAATTTTAATCTTTTTGTTTAAAATGATCAAGAAGATTGTTTTTTATAAAAATTATTTCATAGATGGCGTTAAAGTAGTTAAAATTTAAGTTTTATAATTAAATTCATTTTTTTTTAATTTTGACTGCAAAAGTTGTGCTTGGTTTCCAATATATTCATCGTTACAATTTGCTTCATTTTCTTTCTGAAATAATACTAAATCATGCCTAAACTTGAAAAAAATATTATTTTTCTGAATTGAAAATCTGCATAAAGGGTGTAACTTTATATTTTACCCTTCATTGCACAGGTGAAAAAAATCACGTGAAACGCCTTCAAATTGAACCAATTTTCTTTTATTTTAGACGAACTTTGAATGTGAACGCGTTCTTTTTTTTATGAACGCGTTCGTTTTTTACATTCGTTCAATTTTACAAAATCTTATTGTTTTTATTCATTTAGAAATATAAAATGTATTTATCGTAATTTTTTAAGAATAAAGGGTATTTTTTTAATCAACTGTTTCCTTTATCTTGAATTTTTTAAACCAGCCATTATTAATTTGAATATTATTGTTTATAAATTCGCGTCATATGTAAAATGGATTTTCTGGATTCGAATTTCTTTCTATACGATTGGTGATCCAGCTCATCGCCGACTAGACCACAGACGATATACGAAAACATTCATATTTTCCTTATATAATGATAAATAAATGACGGGATTAAAAATTGTATAAAAAAATTATAAATACTCGATATATGGCGGCTGAAGATAGAAAAGCTAAAACGCTTAAGGGTATAGGGAATATAGACCTATCCACTAAGCTTTGATGGAATGGCAGTTTGCATCCAAGAGATGTGTTACAATTCGATATTTAGGTTCAAAAGTATTTTCTAAAATTAATTTCGAGATCTAGTGATATTTTAGTGGTCATAAAAATTTGTGGTGACTAGAAGGCCTGTAAGATTTTAGGAAAAAATAGAAAAATTAACTAAATAAAATTCCTTCTTGATAAGTAGGTAAAGATAAAATACTAATCATCTCCAATGGATGAAGCTAGTTTTGTCAGCTACAATAAAATTTTCATAGGGACAGTCTGATTTTAGAGGTGAATAAAATTACATTTTGTGATTTTGGCCAAAATGTTTAATATTTATTTTAGATTTTGGGGCAACACGGTCAAAAACATTTTTTAATTTCTGCAAGTTTTAAAAAGAATTAACATAAGATTTAAAACTATAAATATTTTTTTTGAAAGTTTTTAAATAAGATTTGGACGCGACCTATGATATAATCAAATTTAATTAATCGGTTTAAATTACATTTTATAAAATAATGTTTGTATAACAACAAGATATTGATAAATATTTTATTATTATTTATAAAATAAACTATTTATTCATCCAAATATTTATTTTGGGACGTTATAACTTTTTTAAAATTTGTTTATTTATTAATAGACTTTCCCTCAAAAATCATACTTATCAATTTAAAAATATATAGATTATTTAGAAATAAAATATATATATAATTAGAATGCACTATTGTTGAAATGTAAATATTTTTTTTACAGAATCGATTTTAATTTAATGCCAAATTGAATGTTAATTCATTTTATCCTTACCGAATTGGAATTAATATTTTTACCGTCGATCAATCATTATTTTTGGCGGGTTAGATAAAATACCTAATCTACAATTATAATTTTTTTTTAAATTAGCATATTTCTTAAAAATATAATACATAATAAGTAGCCTATCCTATCAAAATATATAGCAACCCATCATAATTTGAATAGTTGCATCAAAAAATTATTTGATTCGAATCGAAGTTTACATGATAAAATATTAAAATTTTTCCTAAATATATGAATACTCTCTAAATATTAAAAAAAAATTTTAAAGTCAGGCCACCTTATCAATTTTTTGGTAGTATTAAAAATGATTTTGTTTCCAACCCGATTCAAAATATTTTTAAATTATAAAAAAAATGATATCAGAACAAAGGATTTATTTATTTTAATCAAGTTCAATCAATAAAGATTTGCCTTATAAAATAATTTGTCTCATTTGAATTTTATCGATACTTTTTGTTTATACTATGATAACTAATAACACTAAGACATAAAATATAACTACAAATATTTCGCTAATTATTCATATAACGATATGAATATTACAATTATGCGATTAAACGAATATAAATAAATAATACAAATATTCAATTCCTATTTAAGAATCTCATTCGATTACGATTTTGTTGTAGCCTAATTTTGGTAAATATTATGCAATCCATTTTTTGTAGATACTTGTATCAGACATATTTTTTTGTCCTTCCCGTTCCTCCCTAATTTCTTCAATTTTATATATAAAAGGAAATTTGACGAAAACATTTTTAAGCTCGACAGCACTTAATTATCTTATTTCAAATTTAATCTTGCAAGAATAAAAGTTAAAAAATGAAATTTAATAAAGTACGAGGAAAATAAAATATCAGAGTATTTTAAATGGAGTTTAGAAAATAAATTAGGCCCAATCCTGCTTAGGAAATCAAAATGTTAAAATTAGGTGTCGACTTTATGCGGGCTGGGTTTTGAAGAAGAGACCTGTAATTGCATAAGAAAAATTTTTCCCACATCACGGGAAGAAAATCTTAGACTCGACCCAAACATAAAGTCAATTTAATATTCGCAATCCGACACGAAAATCAGAATTTTAAAAAAAATATCATAAAATTTTTTAATTTTACTCTGAAGTCTGAAGTATTATTTTAAACTTTAAATCGTTTAAAACTCATTCGATCAAATTAAAAGAGTAATTAATTGGGATGATATTAACTACTTTATATTTTTATGATAAAGTAAACTTTATAGAGGTCTCTTTAATAGCCACTTCTTAAAGATGATCATTAGATGATATTTTTGGATTCAAAAATCATGGTCATGTTAAAAGTGAGAATTATATTAATGATCTCCTTAATTTTAGCTAATAAAATTTAAACGTTATTCTAAAAATATTATTGGTGGGCTTAAATTTTTTTTTATATTTTAACTAAATATTTATGTAATAAATTAATGCAAGTACATAAATAATCTCTTTATTTATAATTTTATATGTCTGGTCGTGATCATAATTTGTAAAATTAAGAGCATTATTGCTTATATCTATACAAAATATATAGTAAGGGATATGAAAATGAGATCTAATGATGTAGAAATGCAATGCACCAATTTCTATATGGAATCAGTGCTGAATTGGCCATTTGAATAAATATTCGATCGGTTGATATAAAAAATGGTTATGAATATTATATTTAAGATATTATATCATTTTATTAAGTATTTACAGTTAACAGATTCAATATTTTTTTATATGATCATTATATTAAGGTGCCAAATAGACCAGATTTACCGTCGGGATATTTATACAAAAATTTGATGGCTTTAGGAACCGATAAAAAGAAACGGGTAATTTGGGTCTTATGCGCGGACGATAACGAATTAAAGTTATTTATACTTTTAAAAATATATAATTTTATTAATATATTCAATACCATACATAATTTAGCTCCTGGATGAGTGCAGTGGTCAGCACTGTAAGTTTAATATTTTTATATCATATATTGCAACAAAAATTGTATAACATGTTCCATCAGAAATTTTATATTTTTTAAATTTCCTAATTAGAAGAATATAGTTTTAACATCAAACCATTTCTTATTATAGGGCTAGATTCTTTTTTAAACTTATTAAGTAAATAGTTGCCAACCAACTCAGTACTTATCATTAATGAATGTTGATTAAAAAATCATATTAGTTACCTCCTCCACCAGCTCCTCCGCAAAACCCTAATTCCAATCCCATAACAAAAGATGATCAATCATCCGACAGCAATAAACCTAATGTTTACCCTATGCCTGCTCCACCATACCCAGGTTTTATATGACATGTTTTTCTTACAATTAAATATTTTTAAATCAAATTTTCCCTCAAACAATTGGAATTTATTTAAATGATGCTGAGTGATTTTAAAATTAATGTACCCTCTCCCCATCTTTTTTAGCCATTTGTTTTTATTAAAATATATTTTACAATCTTTAGGTGGAGCTCCTCAGCAACCCCCTCCCCCTTCATCTCAAAACTATCCTCAACCTGCACCTTCTGGTGCATATGGAGCTGCACCTGCCCCTCCTGGTGCATATGGAGCTTCACCGGGAGTGGCGACCGGTGGGAATCCTACCGTTGTAATATTAGATCGCGATAGAGGGGGTGGCGGAGGCGGTGGCGGCTATGGCGGAGGCGGGGGATTATTTGGGGGAGGAGGCGGTAGAAGTGGTGGTATGGGAATGGGAACAGGCCTTTTAGCTGGCGGCTTGCTTGGTTATGGGCTTAGTAGCCTCACCCGTCCTTTTGGTGGTTACGGTATGGGAAGTGGCTGGGGCGGCGGTGGCATGGGTATGGGTGGTTATGGCATGGGAGGTATGGGTGGTTATGGCATGGGAGGTATGGGAGGCGGATATGGTATGGGAGGCATACAAGACAATGATACTACAAATATCGTTAACAATTATAACTATGGAGGTGGCGGTGACACGGGCGCTCTGGCGGGCGGTGACATGGGAGGGGGTCTTGGCGGAGGCGTTCTCGGTGGGGGTGGCTCTGACTTTTTCAACGATGGTTCCTACAACTCTGGTGGTCTAGCCAGTTATGGTGGTGGTATGGATGACTATTATGGTGGAGGGAACACTGGAGGCTTGTTTGGTAGTGGCGGTGACAGCGGAGGCGGAGGTCTGTTTGGAGGTGGCGATAGTAGCAGCGGAGGTCTTTTTGGCGGTGGAGGCGATTTTGGAGGGGGCTCAGACTTTTTTGGAGGAGGTGGAGGAGGCGGTGGAGATTTCTTTGGGGGTGGTGGTGGAGGATTTGGTGGCGGTGATTTTGGTGGAGGTGGGGGCGGAGACTTTTGATCTAAATATATCAAATATTTTTAAATTATTAATTATTTTTGCCGAAAATCGAAGTATGTATATTAATAATAGAGCAAAGTCTATTTACATTTATCTTTATATGCTAATATTGATTTTTTTAAATTTTACGAATAAGAAATATTGTTGACTCTAGTATATTAAATAATGAATCTTGTGTATAATAAATATCTTATTACACCTATATTTAGCTCATTTTTACAATTGAAACACTTATTATTTGTTAGTAGTTTTAAGAGTGCAATTAAAAATTGTATATCATAATTATATAGGATCCACAGATTTATTTATATTTAATGCACATTTATTTATTTTTTTAAAACTTTACATAAAAAAATGCTTCTGCTATATTAGTCAAAAATTAATTTTCCGTATTTGTAAATCATATATATATATATTGAATTTATGAAATTATTTATTCTAAATAAATTATAATTAACGGTTGTTATGCTATTTTCGTAGATATTTAATTTAGATGATAGTGTTACTATTTAAAATTTTGAGTTCAAATTTTTGAGATAAATTTATTTTTATTTGAGAAATCATATGGTACCCAACCGAATCTTCTCAATCTAATCCGATAAGTTTTTATACTTGAATTTTTTTCAGTTAAAATAAAAATACCTAGCGATAAAATTTTATAAAAATAATAGGTTAAGGAATATATTTTAACATTTATTTATCAAATAATCCAAATTTTTATAAATCAATGTTCAATAATTTTTTATATTTTAAAAAGTATAGCTTAGCATTACCTACACGTCCGATTCTTTAATAATATAATTTACTAAAGACATCATTTTTTTACATGTAGGATTTAAATAAAAAACAAGATGGCTGGCATCTTTATAAGAAATGTATATTTATGGGAGTTTAGTAGGATTTTTTTAAACTAAACTAGGAACAATTTTAAATTGAAGTTTTAAGAAGTTAAGCGGGAAATAATTCACCGGAATAAAAATTCACTTGGAAACTAATTCCCCAAAAATAAATTCCCCTCTTTTTGATTTTAGTATATAAAGCGGGAAAAAATATTAACCTGATATATATTTTTTTTAATTATCAAAAATACCCAAACCGCCAAAAAAACCAAAATAATTTTTAAAAATTAAAATCTCAGTGAAAATGTATAATTTGAGTTGCATTTTTTTAAGCAAATTGGTTAAAATATATTTTATAAATATATTATATTATAATTTCAGGAAGATGAAATAGAAAAAAAAAATGACAATTATTATAAAAAAGAATTTTAACTTGTTTTGAATAAATAAGTAAAAAATATATATTAATATTGTTTTGTATATTATGGTTTCATTGAAGACGAGTTTTTGACAGGGGTTGATTTTATTCAAAAATATTTAAATAGTATAACGGATATCTTGGTCAAAATAATTTGAAACTTATCTTAAAATAATTCATTTGTTTTGATCTTCAAAAAATCTTGAGCAGAAAACTTTTTTTTGACTATCTAAAAAAATTCATTATTTTGATCTTCAAAAAATTTTGAGTCAAATTTTACCTAAAAATTCCAATTCTTTTTTACAAAAGATCTTCTATATATAATTAAATCTTTTGTAATTTTATGCATAAAAAATTCTTTTATGAAATCTAAAAAAATAAAAATTTTTTTTCGAACTCAATGCAGTAAACTTAGCAAACCATGACAAAAAAACATTTTGCATTAGAAGATCTTTTGTAATTTTATGCATAAAAAATTCTTTCAAGATGAAATCACAATTTTTTTAAAAAATAAAAGATTTTATTCAAATTCAATGCAGTAAACTTAGCAAACCATTAATACATCAAAACATTTTGCATAACTTTCATCGCTAATGATTTTGTAGCGGGGCTTTTTGTCAATATTATTCAGCGAAGACCATATCCGGAATTTTATAATGCATTCTGAGAACTCTTTAGAGCGAAACTTTCATCGTAAATGGCGGAACAAATCGCAAAGGCGATATAGCGAAAACTATTTTCAGATTAAAATATTTTATATTCATTTTTATAGCTAATAATGGCGATTTTAAATATTTGATTTTAAAATATAAGGCTCAAAAAGATTAAAACTAGGTCAAGCACTCAAATTCTAGACCGACGAATTGCTAATAGTGACTATTTTTTAAATCAATCAATAGTGGAGACCGGGATTAAACGATTGGTATTTTCCATTTTTACCATAAAATTTTCAAACATCAAATTATAAATTTATATATAGCTCAATCCATCATCTATAAAACAAAAGTATAACTCTATCCATAATACTTCAAGAGCTGTGATTAATTATGTGAAGTGTGCCATTTTACCTCATACCCAGGGTAAAATAACTAGGCATCAGAGTAAAGTGGTTAAAATATAATTAAACATAACTATTGTTTTTTTGAACAAATATTGCAATTTTGACTTCCATTTATTACTTATAGATAAATCAATTCAATATGAGAAAATAAAATTTTTTATTCAAAAATAGCATATTTTGAGTATCCCAATTTTAGGCAACCGTAAATTTCAATTATTCTTCCCGTTTGCCACTATTTTTAACATTTTATTCTAAATAACAAAAGTATTTATTGATGTTCCTTTTTGCTCAAAAATATTTTTTATTATCTTTTTACTGTTTTTATCCTTGAAATTAGAGAAACCACATGAAAATCAAATTCTAAAATTTATGCTAATTTAGAGTCTTAATTGATCCTAAATGATCTAGAAACCAGAAATCAAAGGCTTGTAAATTATAAGCAAATAAAAAAGAAATTACTGAAACTTATACCATTGTTTAACCCGATAATTGATCTTCAAACAGTGACATTAGCCTTTCGTGAGTTATGAGCAAAATAAGAAAATGTTGTCACCTTGCCAAAACCTAAATTAAAATAGATCATATTCTGAAACTTGGCCAATATTTACTATTTAATAGTCTCTAAACCGCATTGACCATTTTAAAACATAGTTAGCCAAAATACTTGAAGAAGCTGGTATCTAATTCTGAATATTGTGTAGTCTAATTGATCCTCCAGGATCCTTAAACCGCATACCAACGATATTAACCGTTCGTGAGTTAGCAAAATAGAAATGTCTTGGCATATTGACAATATCTTAAACTAAATCAATCATTTTCTAGTTCACACGCCATGATTGATCTTCCTATTCTTCAAACGGAATGTAAAAATAATAATCGGAAATAAATGCCCTTATGCAACCCAATGTACCCTAATTTATATTCTTATCTGATAGTGGCGTGATACGTGGGATCATATTTTTTTTAAATTTAACCCACCATACTTAGTATACTGAAATGGTGGTCCTTCGGAAGTCGTCTGAGGGTCATTGGTCCTCTAACCCTTGTGATGTGGCAAGAGTCATGACCAAATATTTTAATAATCTTTTATTTAACCTAAATGAAACATAAATTTTTTTAAAGACTTATTAAATATAAAATTTATATAATTAAAGAATTTTTTTTTAACATTGAAAAAGTTCTATTTAAAATAATAATCTGCCCAATCTGTCCGTTTTTAATTGACAGATATTGACGTTTTCACTAATATCTTCAAAGTAAGTAATTAATTATGAATCACGTATCTTTTTGTTCTTATTATTCCATGGTAACAACATTTTGGAGTATTTGATATATGATATGTTGATATTAAAATTATGATGTTCATGGTATTCTTTTTACAATGTTTTCAAAAATGATGTTAAAGGGAATTATTCTTTAATTATAATTTTTTATAAAATTTATAAATTTAATAAGGTGAAAACAGGTTCATACATAATTTAAATATGCCACGATTTTATCTTTATATAAATGAAAAGTGAACATGCATGTTTAATAAGAAGGTCTCCTTAATAATATAAGGGTGATATAAAAAGCTAAAAGTGTAATATATAGTTTCGATTTAATTTTAAAAAAGCTGTAATTGACATCTTTCCAATTTCTCGTAGTATCTATCTTTTTCGCTCTCTATCGCGATGACATCTTTCACTGGCCTAGGCATGATATAGCGAAGACCGAAACAGCGAAAATAAAATGTTCTCAGTATGGCAAAATTTTTGATATGAGAAAAGTATATAATTAGTTTTACAATGAAAATCCCAACAGTCTCTAAAAATTTAAAAACAATTATTATAAATGAAATATTATTAATTTAATGTGATACAGTAAATAAATTTAATAATTTAGGGACAAATTCAATTCAGTCTACAAGCAACTTTCTCATAAGAGATACTCAATCCTTTCCTGTTGAAAGTATAAATATTTTACCAATTGTTTTTAGTATGTTTAATGATTTTAGGCCCAAGTTTAATTCAGCCAACCTAAAATGCAGTTGAAGAAGTGTTATATTATAGGAATTACTAAATTAAAACATCATATATTTGTTTATTGAATAGTATTATGTTTTAATCTATGCAACGTTCATTCATTTAATTCTGTTTATTCAAATTATATTTTTATTTTAGTTATACTTTTATTTTATAAGTTAACCTTTTAATATTATTTTCTAATTTTAGTTTGTAAAAATGCTATATATATGATATGAAAAAGAGAAATAAAATGAGATAAAATAAAATTTTTACTTTTTCTCCAAGGACATTCTTCCACGCCAAAAGCTTCTATCTTCATGGTTCCCCGGCTCTGGGTGGAGACTGGAATATGATGACCAACACCTAACCTAATGTGACGACCTAGAAAGAACTGATATGGAAGTTGGACGATAGGCTATGAATTCTATATAGTGTAACCAATGATGATTTACTAATAATTCTAAATCCACATAAGAAGAAAAGATATTATAAATTAAAATTATATGCCGAGATTATGGTATACATTAACTTATTAAAATAAATGTAAATCAATCATAATGGACATATTTGAATACATAAAAAGCCTTAAAAAATATTTACTTAATAATGAATTAATAGTTGAATTTCTTAGTAAAAGGCCTATTGATATTTTTCATATTTTTGATTTCTTGAATTATGACCAATTGTGGAAATTAACTGAAATACCTAAAGATGAATTCTTAGATATAATTAAAAAATATTACAAAGATAAACCATTAAAGAAAATAAAACTATAATTTTAAGTAATTGAAACATAAATTTTAAGATATAAATCATATGGTTGATTTAAAAAATTATAAAATTAATATAACTCTTATAAGTAATACTTAATATGATAAAAAGTTTTTGAAATTTAAAGCTTTGAAGACAAGAGGTTATGTAAAAACTAAACATCTTCATTTTAGAAAAATATTTAAATGATGTGGAGGAGATCATTTTCTAAAATTATCTTATGAAGAATTATTATTTAAAAAAAACACTTTTTGAATTAAAACTAGGGTGTGAAATT